GGCTTATGTTAATACAATATCTGATAGTGCAAAATTGATTGAGGGCTCTGGAAGAGCGGTATTACTACTACCTGGGGGGACGATATTAAATATTAAAAATGTGTTGTACTGTAGTAAGTCTCAAAGAAACTTATTAAGTTTCAAGGTTATTTGCCAAAATGGCTATCATGTTGAGACTGCCAATGAAGTAAAGATTGAATACCTTTATATTACTACAGTAAAATTGGGGCAAAAATATGTGCATGAAAAATTACCCGCATTTTCTTCTGGATTGTACCAAACAAGTATTAGTATGGTTGAATCACATGTCATAGTAAACAAAGGGTTTACTAATCCTAATGATTTTATCATTTGACATGACCGGTTGGGCCATCTCGGTTATAATATGATGCGCAAAATTATTGAGAATTCACATGGGCATACTTTGAAGAATCAGAAAATTCTTCAATCAAAGAAATTCTCTTGTGATGCTTGTTCTCAAGGAAAGTTGGATATTAAACCATCAGTAAGGTTGGGATTGAATCCCCTGCATTTCTGGAACGTATACAGGATGATATATGTGGGCCAATTCATCCTTCATGTGGGCCATTTAAATATTATATGGTCTTGATAGATGCATCTACAAAATGGTCACATGTGTTCTTATTATCAACTCGCAATATGGCTTTTGCGAGGTTATTGGCTCAAATAATAAAATTAAGAGCACAATTTACAGATTATGCAATAAAGACAATTCGTCTTGATAATGCTGGTGAGTTTACATCGCAGGCCTTTAATGATTATTGTTTGTCCACTGGTATAACAATTGAACATCCAGTTGATGATGTTCACACTCAAAATGGTCTAGCAGAATCTTTGATTAAGCATTTACAATTGATAGCTAGACCATTATTAATGAGGACAAAGTTGTCTATTTCAATATGGGGGCATGCTATTTTGCATGCAACAGCATTGGTGCGCATAAGACCAACTAGTTATCATGAATTCTCTCCATTACAGTTGGTTTTTGGTCATGAGCCAAATATTTCCCATCTTAGAAATTTTGGGTGCGCGGACGTTCCAATTGCCCCACCACTATGCACAAAAATGGGTCCCCAAAGAAGGTTGGGGGTGTATGTTGGGTATGAATCTCCTTCTATTATAAAATATTTGGAACCTATGACAGGAGATATATTTATTGCAAGATTTGCTGACTATCATTTTGATGAATCAGTTGTAACATCTCGCACCTAGAAATGATTATAAAGAGTTTAAATTATGAAAATATTGATTTTTGGAAAGAATAAGGAAATGTGGAAATTTTTGTCTAAGTTAAGAAAGTGAGTTTTAGCCATTTTCAAACGGCCATAACTCCTAGCTCAGGATGAGTTAGGAGCAGCTCTTGATATGGTTGGAAATCCCTTGGAGAAATCTTTCCAACATCGCCAGGTTTGCACGATTTTGACATCATATGAGTGAGATATGCCTTTCGGAAGTTGGGTTGTTGGATTGAGGAAAGTCCCAATCCGAATTTAGGGAAGGGCAAAGTAGTCTTTTCTCTAATTTATTTCCTAATTCGTTTTTAGGGAGTTATTGGGGTAAAAACTTATTTTTGATCAGATTAGAAAATTAAATTCACACTTAGGGCTTGGAGAAAAGAGAAAAGAAGAAAGAAAGGGAAAAAAAACCAAGATTTCGCCAAGAACATCTAGCGTTTGGAGTGGAATTCGTCGGGGGTGATCCCTATTAAGGTATGTGAGATCTTTTAGTGATGGGTTAGTTCACCCACACACCAACTTGTTTCAATTCAGCAAATTTAGAATTGTTTGAATGTTAAGAAAGTGAAGTTCTTGAAAAACATTGTTGGATTCTTGTTGGTTGATTGTTGAATGCTTCTGTTGATTTTATTCGTGGTTCCGGATTGTTTTTCGAGTTAAATCTATTGAGTATTGAGGGTACTAATGATCCTAAGTGTTTGGGGAAAGAACCATGGAAGTTAGGAGAGTTTAGAGATGAAAAACAGAGAAGAAAAATTGTCAAAAACCTGGGGAAGAGGGTAGGGCGTCGCGCAAGCCAGCGCACCCCAAAAGGGGCTCTGAAATTCACCCTCTGGGGCGACGCGCCAGCCAGCGCGCCCCAGCAACTCCTCTGAAGTTTGAGGGCTGGCGCCCCGCGCCTCTCAGAGCGCCAGGGACGCCATTTCTCTCCATTCGTTCCCCACCTTTTCGTACTTGTTCCTAAGCGATGTACCTATGTTTTCTAGTTAATTCCAACACCCTAAGGCACATATAAACATCATGAAAATCATCCATAAACATAAGAACATGAACCTTGAATCCATAATCCAATTCAAAGAAAGTTAAGATCCAAGTCATAGAAGCTAAGAGTCAAAGTATAGAAGTTAAGAAGCAAGTCTAAACAAAGTTTCTTAAAGTTTTCAAGAGTCTTTAACAAATGTTTTAACTTCGTTTTAAAGCTCAAGTTTCAAGTTAAGCAAAGAGTAAAGAGTTGAGTCCATTTCTCAAAAAGCTATAAGGGAACTAAGTATTCCCAAAGAGTTTATAAATGTTTTTACATTTGAGCAAGAAAAGGGAACATCGACTCTAAGAGAGCTTTTAAGCTAAGTTTTGAGTAATTACCTCAATTTAAAGAAAGAGTTTTGTTTTTACAAACATATGAGCTAAGTATATTTTGGGAGTAGTATTGAGCACCGATATGAGGATGCGAGTTCATATTAACTCAAGTCTCCATAAATCATGTAGCCATCATGGGTAGTAAAAGATCATACTTTTTAAATGACTCCTTAAGATGCTTTTAGCATAAACTAGTGGGTCCACTAAGTTAAGCGTTCTATATGATGGCAAAGTATAGGACAATTCTGGAAGTGTGGGCAAGACGGTGTATCACCACTTAGGCTCATAGTGGTGGTTGTCGGTTAAAGAATCTCCCACAAAAGTTATATTACTTTTATATATAAGTAACGTTGAGTTTGTTATTGCTTTATCTTTAACGAACTAAGTTGTTTACATTGTTTTACAAGCTTTATATATATATATTGCATGTGTCTTATTGCTTTATATTGAGTTTAGTTATTCATGAGTTGTACAGAGCCAAGGTAAGTGTTCCTTCTTACACTTTTCAAGCTTAAGTTGTTGTTTAGCATTCCAACTCGCACACTCGTACATTCAATGTACTGATGCCAGTTGGCCTGCATCGTCTTATGATGCAAACGCAGGTAACCAAGATCAGCATCCAGCGCCTCGTTGATCCAGTTGAGCACTCAGAGTCAGTGGTGAGCCACCTTGCATTCCGGAGGACTCTTTTATTCGTTTTTAGTTTTTCATTATTAGGATGTTATGGGGTCTGTCCCAGCATCCATCTCAGTATTATAGAGGCTTCATAGACAGTCAGATAGTTAATTATGAGTCTCTCATCTATGTATTTGCAGATACTTTGTTTTGAGACAGAAGTTGCCAATTTGGCTAAGATGTTATCATTTAAACTATTACATGAGTTTATTTTGTTGAGTTAAGTCTTCCGTTAAGTTAAGTAAGCCAGGCCAAGGGTTCGCTTGGGGCCAGCAATAGTCTCCGAGTGCCGGCCACGTCCAGGGTGTAGGCTCGGGGAATGACATCAGTATACCCAACATTAGGGGGAGAACATAAATAGTTGGAAAAAGAGACATATTGGAATTCATTATCCCTATCTCATTTAGATCCTCGAACAAATCAATGTGAGCAAGAGGTTAAAAAGATGATTTATTTGCAAAATGTTGCAAATCAACTGCCAGATGCATTTACTAACCTTCCAAGGGTTAATCTTATATTCCAGCTGCAAATGCTCCAGTTTGAATTGATGTCCCGGTAGAACAAATTGTTAAAGCAAATGAGTCTAGACTACGTTTAAAACGTGGTAGGCCAATTGGTTTAAAGGATAAAAATCCTCGAAAAAGAAAAGGAGCAAATGATCATGAAGATCATATCATGGAGGAAATTGCTCAAGAAGAGCTCTGAGACATAACAAATGACAAGACCACAGAGAAGGTCCAAATAACTGAAAATAATGAGAATGAAAAAATCTCAATAAGTTATGTCTCGACGAGAAAAAGGTGGAATCGAAATAGTACTGTGGTAAACAATATTTTTGCTTATAATGTTGTTGTTGAAATAATGCAACAAGGTGAGGATTTTGAACCAAAATCTGTCAATGAATACAGACAGAGAAATGATTGGCCAAAATGGAAGGAGGCAATTCAAGCGGAATTGACTTCACTTGAAAAACGTGAAGTTTTTGGATCAGTAGTCCGAACACCTGAAGGTGTCAAGCCAGTTGGGTATAAATGGGTTTTTGTGTGAAAACGAAATGAAAAAGGTGAAGTCGTAAGATATAAAGCACGACTTGTGGCACAAGGTTTTTCGCAAAGGCCTGGCATTGATTATGTGGAGATATATTCTCCTGTGGTTGATGCAATTACCTTCAGGTATCTAATAAATCTGGCAGTTCATGAAAAGCTTGAAATGAGTCTAATGGATGTTATCACTGCCTATTTATATGGGCTCATTGGACCACGATATTTTCATGAAAGTTCCTGAATCATTCAATGTGCATGAAGCATATAAAAATTCGCAAGAAAATTGTTCTATAAGGCTTCAGAAATCCTTATATGGGTTAAAACAATCAGGACGGATGTGGTACAACCGTCTTAGCCATTTTTTGCTAAAGGAAGGGTACAAAAATGACCCTATTTGTCCTTGTGTTTTTATAAAAAGGTCTGCATCTTATTTTGTTATAATAGTTGTGTATGTTGATGATTCAAATATCATTGGCACTCCTAAAGAGCTTTCAAAAGTTGTTGAGTGTTTAACGAAAGAATTTGAAATGAAAGATCTTGGTAAGACAAAATTTTGTCTTGGCCTACAAATTGAGAATTTGAAAAATGGAATATTTGTCCATCAATCAACATACACAGAAAAGGTTTTAAAGTGATTTTACATGGATAAATCACATCCATTGAGTACCCGATGGTTGTGAGATCGCTTGACATACATAAAGATCCATTTCGACCTCAAGAAAATGATGAAAAGTTTCTTGGCGATGAAACTCCATACCTTAGTGCTATTGGGGCACTAATGTATCTTGCCAATAATACTCGACCAGATATCTGTTTTGCAGTAAGTTTATTGCCAAGATTCAGCTCGTCCCCAACAAAGAGACATTGGAATGGAGTCAAGCATATACTCAGTTATCTTCAAGGAACCATTGATATAGGATTATTCTATTCTAATAAATCCAAGTCAGAAATGATTGGTTATGCAGATGCTGGATATTTGTCTGATCCACATAAAGCTCGATCTCAGACAGGCTATTTATTTACATATGGAGGCACACCTATATCTTGGCGTTCAATGAAGCAGACATTAGTTGCTACTTCTTCAAATCATACAGAAATTATAGCCATCTATGAAGCAAGTCGGTAGTGTGTTTGGTTGAGATCAATAACTCAACATATTCAAGAAATGTGTGGTTTTCCTATGAAAAAGGATATTCCAACTACATTGTACGAAGACAATGTTGCAAGTATAGCTCAGCTGAAGAAATGATACATTAAAGAAGATAGAACAAAACACATTTCACCAAAATTCTTTTTCACTCATGATCTTGAGAAGAAAGGTGAAATAAATGTTCAACAAATTCGCTCAGTTGATAATTTGGCGGATCTGTTCACTAAAGCATTACCAACCTCAACATTTGAAAAGTTGGTATCCGAGATTGGAATGTGTCGTCTCCAATAAATTAAATGATGTTTGCAACAGGGGGAGTAAACTACACGTTGCACTCTTTTTCCCTTGGCCTAGGTTTTGTCCCAATGGGTTTTCCTGGCAAGGTTTTTAACGAGGCAACAAATAAAGCTTATAACAAGATATGTGTACTCTTTTGTCCTTCACTAAGATTTTTTCCCACAGGGTTTTTTCTTAGTAAGGTTTTAACGAGGCATATTATCTATCAATGGTCATCCAAGGGGGAGTGTTGTAAATCATTTTAGTGGTTAAATGGATGACCATAACTCCTTGGTTAACTCCCTTCTTTATGAGTAGTAATGTTGTTGATAATGTGGTCAAATGGATGACCATAACTACTAGGTTAATTTAATCCTTTATTGGTAGTAATGTTGTTGATAATGTGGTCAAATGGATGAGCATAACTCCTAGGTTTATTTCCTCCTTAATGGGTAGTAATTCTCAAGGTTTAATGTAATGTTTATGACAGCCTTTGGTATTCCCAATGTAATCCTATAAATAGTGGTGTTGAGAATAATGTTGAATACACTTGAAATAAAGAAAGTGATCTTATATTGTTTCTCTTGTGTTATATTCTTCTTGTCTTCCTTTTTATATTGTTCTTTTGTTCTTAAGTTTCACAACAATTTTCTTATGTTTGATCTTTTTATTCAATTTTTAAAAAGAAAAAAAATATTGTTAGTCTAAAATTTGATCTCTCACGCTCCTTCTATGCGTAACATCGCACATTTGTGCCAACTCAATAATTGAGTTGTCACATAAGCTTGGTCAACAGTCAGAAGGGCTTAAAACATAGAGTTTTATTGAGTTTAATGATTCAGTTGACAAATAGTCAAGTAGAAGGGTCTAGAATAGAAACGCATACAAGTAGAAGGGTCCATTAGACCATTTCGCCTTAAGTAAAATCCCAACAGAAATAAGAATAATTATAATCATATCATAATACTTGGAAAAGTAGGAATCTAGTCATACCTTTCAAAATCATGATTTCATAACATATTCATAAGACACGTATCTAAGCATCAAAATCATGATCATCTTTCATAGTGAGAAAATATTCACAAATCATTTTGATACTTTATCTAAAGTATTATTTATTCATAAATTCCTCGATTCGATGATGCATGCATAATTTCATAATCATAGTTCAGAATCATAACATAAACATATAGCATGAGTTCATATGAAATTCATTGAAAAATATTAATTGAATCAAATCATGCATAAATAGATCAGTTATAGATAATTGAATCATAAACAAATAAACCCATGAAGAATCACATGAAACCCGAGAAAATTAGGTTGAAATCATAATAGAAATTGAGTTTCTTTTGGGACTCAATGGATAAAAGGAATCCATTGGTGAAGTTCCCACATGCCTTGGGTAACCAAGACCCTAAGAAATCCATTGGTGAAGTTCCCACATACCTTGGATGACCAAGACCCTAAAATACAAGAGGAAGAGACCTTAGAGCTTGAAACCCTTGTTTTTCCTTGGGAGTCTTGAGAGAGAATTTGAGAAGATGAACTTAAGGAATTTTGGGATTTTGAGTGAATGAGAGGGAATTGGTAGATTAGGAAGAGTAAAATCATTTATGGGACCTTATAATGGTCTAGAAACGACGTAGTTTAGGAGTTAAAAGGGTAGGAAAAGATCAAGTCTGAAATCAATTGTTACGAACCAAGTCTACGAATCGTCAGTATTTCTATGGACCGTCCTGGTGGTCCGTAGACCCTCATATGGGATTTGAAAAATCAAAATTTACCAAGACCTCTTCTATGGACCGTAAACAGGTTCATAATAACTGGTACCAACAACCTTTTCTAATGTTTTCCTTTCCAACTCAACTTTCAATTTTTGAGGTGTTACAATATCTTCCCCTTGGGAATATTCATTTTCGAATGGGACTCAAGTTAACATGAATAGAGTAGAGTTCAATACAATGTGTCTTGACATATTGTCGGTGTATTTAAATGAAAATTATTTGATCTCAAAGGGTCATATTTGTTTTGTACTCTCACAAATAAGTCTTATTTGTCATTTGTTATACTTTTTCAACATATTTATCCTTTTCATCCAATTTTAGGATCATATTTGTCTTTGTACTCTCAAAAGGGGTCATATTTACCCCTAAAATGTTAAATCCTCATGTCATCAATATATTTGTCTTTATACCTTCAAATTAAAAGGGCATATTTTCTCTTGTACTCTCAAAAAAGGTCATCTTTACTCCTACAACATTAAATCCACATTTTCACCTTAATCTTTTTATGTGATTTACGAGACTTTTTTTTTTTCAAACTAGTATATGAGATCATTTATTGGGAAAAAAATATATCAACCCACTTATTTATTAAGTTATTAGCCCATTTACTAAATAAGTTAGTAAATTAATTGAGAAAAAAAAATATGTCCCAAGGATCCATAGAAAAATTAAGGTGAGACACAAGGATTTATCGCTGGGTGAAGAGAACAAATATGTTGAGGACATGTTGATTTAATGTTGTAGGAGTAAATATGACTTTTTTAGCGTGCAAACACAAATATATTGATGATATAAAGATTTAACATCGTAGGGTAAATATGACCCTTTTTTAAAATACAAAAACAAATATGATTTTAAAGTTAGATGAAAAAAAACAAATATATAAAAAGTTAACAAAGGATAAATATAACTTATTTATAAAACTCTAAAACTAATATGATCTTTTTCCGTTTAAAAATCTCTCTACGTTAAATGACATTGAGGTTTTGTAGAGCAATGATACATGGGCACTAAGAATGTTTTCTTCTATAGGTATTTACTTTTCAAAGTTATTTTTGTTCCAAGCATTTCAGTATTTACAAAGGCTACTTTTGCTACCTCTAATGTTTCACCATACATCCTTGGAAAGGATTAGTCTTGACAGTTTAGTAACCCAATTTTTATTAAATAAATTTCAAAACTACATTAAATTATAGAGAAACTTACATAAATATCATTAGTTTAGGAGTTAATTGCATACATTTTAGTTTGTAATATTATGTATCTTACAAAATTTTAGTGGGTCTACATACATTCTGATACATCTCGATACATGTATCTTGGAATACATGGGGTCAAAAATAGCTGTAATTGTTCTAGATACATTGTATATAAATGGATTCACATGTATCTCGGATACATAATAAATCTCGCACATGCGAATCACACCCGATACATACATATACATGTATCTAGCATGTATCTAGTGTGATTCGCATGTATCTGGGATACATAATGAATCTCGCTCGCTTCCCTTCTTATTTTAGTGTATCTTGTAGTAAAAAAAAAAAAAACATGTATTTAAGTGTATCTTTCTAAACATATAGTAGAGAACTCTTAATTTGTGGTAAAATACATAGTATTTTAAAAGTATGTGTAATAATAATATATATGATAGTGACGTATGTCTAATTACGTAGTTTTTCGTTGGGAATCTTATAAAAATTCTATACATTTGGGGGCTAATTACGTCCTATCCAAGAAATTTCCTCAAGGACAAAAATTCTAGATTTTTCATTGTTCTTGGATACATTCCTTGGTTATCCGTTACATTCCAAATTATACATTACTTAATGAGAGGGATGTATCCAAGAGAGAATAAGAATGTATCCGAGGGAAGATTTTTGTAATTTAAAAAAATAATAATAATAGAAAATTTTAGAGATTATGATCTTAATTTTTCCTTTTTCCTTTGGAAAAATTAGCAAACTAGTCAAAACCCCTAACATAATTATTAAAAACATCTACACTTTAAAATAATTATTAAAAATGTCAAAATATCAATATTTTTAGCAAATATAATGTATCCTAATATAATTAATTTCCTTTCCTTTTATTTCTCAAATCAGTCCTACATGGGACTCATTTTAGTGAAAAAGAAAAAGAAAAAAACCCCATTACCCACTTTCACCTCTTTGTAGGTTTTTACTCCAAATCCATCCTTTCTCTCTCTGTTTGATAGGTGACGTTTTTTTTTCAATTATTTTCAGAAATTGGTAAAAATCTTCCAAAAAATATTCACAACAATCCCATTGATTTAGGTAAGTATATTTTTTTATTATTTTTATGTATTTTACTGATTTGCATCTGTTTAAACCTTTCAATATACTTGTTTATATAATTGCTTAGTAAATCTTCTATTTTTTATTATGATTTTTGATAAGGAAAAATTCAAAATTCCTCTCTAATGGCGGATTCAAAGAGGAAGAGGTTCCATGTAATGATCGACTTTTTAGTGATTTTTCGTCTTTTGATCTTTGTATCACTCAATGACAAGTCGATAATGTAGGATTGACGGCTAGAATGACGGAAGAAAGCAGAGCTAAGCATCTACATGACCCTATTCGCATGCAAAATCTATTTCAATTACAGAATAAAAACATCATCAAGAGCAAGGACACAAACAATTAAAAGAAAAAGGAAATGATAGACTCTTCGTCTACTAGTAGTGAAGTCGAAAAGGCTGATGAAGATCAAATGGTGGATGAACAACTTCATGAAGATAAAATTGTTTTATGTGCATATGCATTTCCTTGTTCCCTTTCAAATTTAAATAATCTGAGAATATGATATGTATTCCTTTTTGTAAAACAAACAAACAAACTAAACTATAGTGTATTTATCAGTTTTTCATTGGTTTTTATACATAACTTT